AAATAACGACGTCGACACGGCAGCGCTCATCGACGCACTCGCGCGCATGTCAAAAGTGTCACCGGCAAGCCACACGCGCTTACCGAACTAATACGAAACGACGCTGCGGTGCGTCCGGCACACGACGCGGGCCGGGTAGAGTGGGGGATGAGTAAAGAATAGGAATGAGGGATTGGGGAGGGAGAGGGGGTGAGAGAGGTAGAAACAACAAAGCGAGTACCGCGACCATCGTGTATTAATAATGGTTCACGTGTTTGCACCCGGCCTTTTTGCGAAACCGTGCAATTAGCGAATCGAATTAGTTTATTTAGGAAAAGGGCGACGCACCACGGGCCGTCCGCACAGAATTACTCATTCGCGTATATTGTTTTTTGCGATGGCATTTGGTGCGAAAGCGCACGAGCTTGTACAATTATGAAATCAAATGTACTTCCCTTAGATTATGGGACGAATATATTAATAACCAGAGTATGCATTTCTATCTCTTCGCTCTCGAAATTATTCATGCAACATTTTTTTTTGCCACCTATATGCTATAATTTTTTGTCTATTCTTGATTGTCTTGGTTTTACATAAACGGCCTTATTAAATAAACTATAGAGTGAACAATAAAATAAAAAAAAAAGGTTAATTCGTGCGCGCTAAAAAGTCGAATCCGCTCTTTTTTCCGATTAATGTTTACCAATTTACGTTTATTACCGTAGCGTTACATTTTATTTCAGGAAAATTAACATAAAATTTCTCTTCGTCCTCAACCAATGCACAAAACACTCGTATCGCGAACACCTATGCACGGAATTTTTATGAACATAATATAATCCCACGTTAGATTCCCATAATAAACGCGCAATCGTTTTTATATGGCGTTCAACGAGTGCGGAAGTGTACGTGTGTATATAAATATATCTATAAAGCTTAGGAATAAAATCACATGATAGCCATTTATATGCTTAGTCTCAGTATTTGTACCTTAACTCACCACGATATAGATACTTGCCTGTTCTTTATCACCCTACGTTTCTACGTTTCCATAAAATTTATTTGCCACGAATAAGGGGAATATTGCAAAGGTAGTAATAAAATAAAAATAAAAAAATTCGTTGATTTTTGTAATCCGAAGGTACGTGCTTAATATTAAGGTCTTTATTCTGCGTATGCAGCGGAAAATTCTCGTGAATTTTGATTAAAAAAGAGAGCTCGCGTCGTACGGTTATTGCGATTGCACGCGCGCGCAAATCACGTAGTGTAAAATCTCATCGTTGAATAATAAATTTAACCGAATTTACTCTACCGAATGATCGCCCGAGAGTTCTTGGCCTTCAACAATCGTACGGAGTATAATAGCTTGAGAGAGTTGTATATCGAGCTTTTCCAAATACAATCCCTTAACAACGAAACCACAAAGTAGCTGTATAATCTCAAACGTCAATTATTGAAGCATGTATGCAAAATCATACATATTGTGATGATAAAAGATCAAGATTATAAGCCCTGGGTCACTTCAAAGAACAATGAGGATGTCAAGCTGGACACGAGGGCGCGAAAGTTCTAAAGGAAAAAGAATCTAAGCTATTGGTACATGTGTATGTCATGCGTAATTGCACCTATGCCGCGCTATTGCCACCGTATTTTCCCTCCTCCTCCTCCTCCTCCTCCTCC